AATCATTAAGGCTCACAAAAAATGTACTTCGTCTCTGTTTTTGACGTGCAAAATTTCAATGAAAGTATTTTTTTTTGTCAGGGCTTTATAAATAATTCTGTTTATTTAATGTGTTGGGCATTATTCACTTGTAAATATAAATCCATTTAAATTGTCAATACTTCTAAATTAAATAAAAGAAACTGGTACAAAAAATTGGTGAATTGTAGTTTCATAGAAAAATTTTATGTGTCCACGCCTACTTGAATCTGCTTTTTTCTATTCCCTTGTCATTTTTGGAACGCATCGTGATTTCTTAACGCTATACAAAATGAAGATGCATTAAACTACTTTTCTATTAATAAAGTACGATAAAACTAGTACAAAAATAAATAAAAAATTCAAATTAAACAGATGAGTTTTATGTGATTCCCGTGTGTTACATGAAGGTGTGTTACGTAGTATTTTTTTAGGCAATAGAAATAGAAACACTTTTATTATTTTTTTCGAATGGCAACATTACTACTTTCAAGTTAGAGACGTCAATGTCAAGTCAGACATTTTGGTTTGCAAGTAAGACGCCGCGCTGTGGTGTGTTTATTTTTCGTCACCTCGTTCTTCGTATCTTTTGGATCCTATTTTGCAAGGTAAGTTATAATATTACTTTGTTTTATATAAAGATAGATGGAAGACACCATAAATATTTTTAAATAATGCAGATTATCACTGATTTGCTTTGCAATTGAAAAGGCTACATGGGTTTTAGGTTATGGTATTCACGAGTGTTTGTTCACGTGTGTTGCGTGTGTTACAAAGTTGTGTGACGTAACACACGTGAAAAGTGTAAAGCTCAGTTCACATTGCAGAACAATTAAAGAAATTCAAATGAACTCTTAATTAGCGACAACCGCAAATTTTATACTTATACTTTATGCTATTAACAGTCTTAAATCCGTTAAAACAAGGAGGGGGTCGCAACGCCATTTTTTTTTAAATTATAATATTAAATTCCGGAATCAGATTTTATGGTTTAAATTGGTTGGATTTTATAAAAATTGAAAAGAAGACTAAAGACTGTTATCATAATTTTTATGTTTTATCGTTTTTACAGATGCCACTTACTTCTGCTGAAAGGCAGAAACGCTATCGGGAGCGACTAAAAGAAGAGAATCCTGAAAAATTTAAATCACAGAAAAAGAAAAATGCAGAAAGAACAAAAAAGAACAGAAAAAAAATAGTAGAATATGCTCCGTCTGATCAAGAAATTATAAGAAAGGAATGGAGAGATAGAAAGAACAAAAATAAAAAACGTAAGCCTGAAGAAGGGTGTTCTTCTAAACAAACTTCTGGGCATGACAAATCGAACTATTATAGAAGAGTCATATATAGACTGAAAAACGAAAATGAAAAACAAGAACAGGACATAAAAAAATACAAAAAGTCTTTAAAAAAAATGAGGCAAAGATTAAACAGACTTATTGAAAAAAATAACGATTTAAAAGAAATTGTTAAAGAGAAAAAGGATATTATTCTTAGCTTAGAAAAAAAGTTCAATGCAAGTACCAAAATAGATGAAGATATTCAACAAACGTCCCCCTTGTCGAAGACGTGCGCATACATTGATCAAAATTTACCTAATATTTGCCCTGAAGAAAAAGAAAAAGTAAAGAAAGTTTTGCTAGAACATAATGTAATTATGGACACTATAAAGGAGAACTACAAAAGTAAAAATCCACAAGATAAACGATTAATAAAAGATATTTTGACTAAAAGTGATAACATTAATAAATACAATCTGAAAACTAAACTAGCTTCCTATTTAGGCCTTAAAGGTAAAATTCGCCACACTAAACAGAAAAATAAAAGCTCACTTATACAGAAAATGCTAAAAAATTTTTATGAAAGGGATGATGTAAGTAGGATGACAGCAGGGAAGAACGAAGTAAAAACACAAAAAAAGATAAAGAAACAGAGAAGGTATTTGCTTGGCCCTCTACGTAAACTATACAAGAAATATAGAGAAGAAGGTGGAAAATTATCATTTTCAACATTCAAAAGGTACAGGCCCTTTTACATATTGTCACCTAAAGCCGAAAAGCGAGAAACTTGCGCATGCAAGAGACATGAAAATTTGCTAAAGAAAGCCACGGCATTAAAATCAATTGGGTTAATAGCAACAACAGATCTTGACGAATTACTGAGTATGGTAGTATGTTCTTCAAAATCGAAGGAATGCGCTTACGGAGAATGTGGTTTGTGTAAAAATAAACATATTGACTTCTGTATGGGTGAAAAAAGTTTAAATGATAATGTTTCATGGGATGAATGGGTTTTAAAATCTTATGAATACCAACCAAAAAAAAATTGCAATGTGATAAAGACTACGAAGAAAAACGACATGGAAACAAAAACTGGTTCGCTAAAAATGCTAATAGACGGCTTTCAAGAGGAGTTGCGAAATTTTAAAATACATTCATATAATATCTTGCATCAATACAAACAGTACCGCCAGTGCAAAGACAATTTAGATGACCGCACCGTAGCTGTACACATCGATTTCTCGGAGAATTATGCTTGTAAATTAAGCACTGAAATACAAGCCATGCATTTTGATGGGTCCAGACAACAGATCAGTCTCCACACTGGTATGTTATATACTAAAAAGGGTCATCAATCTTTTGCAAGTTTGAGTCCAAACAAAGATCACGGACCAAATGCAATTTGGGCACATCTCTTACCGGTACTTAAAGAGATCAAGAAAAAATTACCGAAAGTAGACGGAATTCATTTCTATTCAGATGGTCCAACAGTACAATACCGTCAGAAAAAGAACTTTTATTATTTCGCAAAACTGACGAAAGAATTGGGCTTTACGTTTTCCACATGGAACTTCTTTGAATCAGCACACGGTAAAGGAGCCGCTGATGGCATTGGAGGAGCTATCAAAAGAAAATTAGACTCAATTGTCGCATACGGTTCAAATATTCCCGACGCGCAAACAGCCTTCGAATTTCTCCAAACGTCTGAAACCAAAATTCAACTTTTTTTCATACCTGATGATGACATACTGAGTGATTCAGTAGAACTCTTACCTGTTCCAAACACTATGAAAATTCATCAGATTATTAATAATGTCGGTTCAGCCAATTGTATTTTCTACCGATATTTAAGCTGCTTCTGCCAAAAGAGTAAAAATGAAAGACCAGGTTTTTGCAACTGTCTTAATCTGAAACCTGCAGACTTATTTAAACCATTAAAAATCATTGGTAAAAAATCTGTTGCGTCTAGAACACCTGTGACAATACTAACTGACATCAAAAACACTGAAGAAAACCATGCTTATTTTGATTTGAGCAGCTATGGACCTTTTAATTTAAAACAAATAGACATCAAAACAAAGATTGCGGGCAAAAGTTCCAAAGAAAATTCCCAACCATACCATGACAAAAACAAGAACAGTTCTAAAAAAAGAAAAATAATAGACGTCCACCCTAAAAGAAATAAGAAACTTAAAGCGAATGTAGAGAGCAGTACAGACGAAGACGGAACGATGTCTGTGCATGATACTTCCGATGAAGATTATCACATTTCAAGTGACGAAGATTACTTGGATGATATGGAAATGAAAGTGCAAGAAAACGTTAAAGATTTAAAGAAAACATTGGATAAAAGTAAATTGGAGAAGAAAGAAATAGGACAATCAAGTTACGACGATGAAACAAATATATACACTAATATAGACACAAGAGGAAACATTTCTTGTAATGAAAAAGAGGGAATAGTCAAGACTAATTTTGCTGAACAATCTGTTATTGCTACGACTCTACAGAATGATGAAAAGAACTTTGAGATTACAAATAATGTTTCAGAAGTGACACCAAAAATTTATATCGACACATGGAGGCTATCTTTCAAAGACAGTGTACTAGTAAGATATTACCAACGAAACTCATGGAAGTACTACATAGGATTCTTACAAGATACCTTTCAAAAAGAAGGAAAGTCTCATTTTACCATACGGTTTCTAAAAACCGTAAAAAAACCGGAGCTAAAGTTTGTGGTTCAAAAAATTAAGGATGAAGATACTGTTACTGAAGATTTAATTGTTAAGCAGATTAAGATTACACAAAACACAGAACGACCAAAGGAATACTTTTTAGCTGAACCTAATATTGATAAGTTTTTTTTTGAGTAGAATATAATTTATAAAAAAAGAGAAGACCAAAAACAAAATCAGCCATTTAAGTACAAATTTTGATCTCATTATCGGAACAATTATTTAGCATTTTAAGAAATAAATAATGTTTTTTAAGTTGTGATATTAACGTGACATAAATAAATAATTCGCATTTTTTTTAATTCTATTGTTTTATTGCCACCATATGCATTAACCTTAACATTTTTTCCAGTGTGTTACACAATTCCTGAGTGTTATGGTGTGTTACTGATTCCGGTGTGTTATGGTACATTTTTTGTGAGCCTTACCCAAATATGTACAAAAAGCTTTGTAGCGACTGCTACGATTCGCTACAGTATTATTAACAATGAGTATAGATTTCCTAACTATAATGTAACATTAGGAACGTCCATGCCAAAATGTATTTATGCGGCAATCATGCAATTTCTCCATCAGTCATTGGCATGTAAAGCCCCATTCACGGTTAATACCTGTGGAATTTTGTAGGTGTGTTTGTAAGCTATTATTTTCTCTTATCAAATCAATATGCATGCACACATGTTATCCAGAGGATGTTAAAAGGAAAATTTACTTAAGTTATATGGTCCTATTAGGATTTTTTTTATTTTAAAGATTTTTTTATTTAGATATGGTAAGGACACAAGTGTTAAGGAATACGTTTGTCACATGATTTAAGCAGAATACAACGAACGTTATGAATTAGTGTAACATTCACACACAAAGTAAGTAAACTAACACGTAAATTTTAGCAGCAATGTGTGAAAAATTGATGCATGTCCAATTTCAAGCAGCAAGTAACGCTTCAAGGACATTTTAGACATACCTAGCGCGCAACGGGCACCAGCCGAAGAACCGGCTGCGAATCCTCGAGTCCGTCGGGGAGCAATCGCACCGGTGCCAACAGCCGGCACCACAGCAGCAGTCTCACCGAGATGAGCCCTAACAACGCCAGCCGAATCGCATCCGCACTTCCCGCCACCACCACTCGGTGACCGATCAAAACATAGCTCTCACGAACCTTTTCAACACACAGACTCGATTTGCAAAATTTATTCATCGCATCCGCCGAAAGCACCTATAATTTTTACGAGCCGCACCGAACACGCTAGAACTGCCGGCTCTACCGTCCGATGTTTCTTTATGCCCGGCACGAATTAGCACCAATAAACTGAAAGGAAAACACCATAGAATGCCGCCGATGCGGATCAGGAGCCGTCGGAAAATTGTGCGCACGATAACACGTGAACGCGAGCGCTCGCCGGCAGCCGCAGCGCGCTGTAAACAGACGAGCGCCCGACAACACACGCACACACTGGTGAAGGCTGCCAAGCTCGTCACGCCTTGCACGCACACGGGCACAAGCACTGGCGCACTCCAACGCGCTAAAAATAGACATCACATCATTGCGAGCCAATAGAATGGCCAGAGTATCACGCCATAAACACTCATGATTGGTTAATCTTCGACTGATGGATTACCTACCGCGAGGCGTTTCAATTCGCGATTAACCGAACTTTTGATAAATCTTGAATGATATGAAATAGTTCTTGATTGAATTATCGATACGGGTGATATTGATAATAATAATTTGACAATAACAATTTTGCTTGATGATTACGTGTATGATTTTATCGGTATCAATTAGGAAAACAAGATAGTTCCTTCCGAAATGCTTCGCGCAAAAAGTATGGCGCGCTTTCTATCAAGTTGGTTATCTGTTTGAGTGACAGTGTTTGACTGTGTTTGGCCAGTAAAGAAAGAGACAGAGCTACGCTTTTATAACCAATAGTCTCGTCTAGATTATGTTAATTTTAATAGCGGATGTACGCAAAACGCGAGCTTTTCCTGACAAATTATTGCTTTTCTTTCTTTTTCATACATGTAAAGTAACTCAAAATGGCACATTTAAATTTCTTTATTATCATTTAAGGATACCAGCCCGTTGCACCAAGTACCAAGTATCATTTAAGGAAGTTAATTATACATATGTAGAGTAGCACATATTTACTTAATAATAGAATTAACACAGAAATACATACTGTATGTCTATAATTCAGTTGTTTTTATAGTCGAAGTAGCATAAGGGCATGCCATAATGAAACTGAATCGATAGAAATACGAGTCAAGCTCAAGCGGTCTGTATAATCTAACCACCTCAACGCAGTTTTGCCTGTATATTAAAAACAGGGGTCACGATCATTGCCAGAAACCGTCGTTGATGTTTTTAAATTAGACTTTATTACAATATTACAATGTCGGTTTTAGAATAGTCATGAGATTTTGATAGAATAAAAACCTGTGTTGTTGCAGTAGAGCTGGGGGAGTTCGTAAAGAAAGAGTACACGAAGATTTTGAATATTTTTTAAGTTTTGAAACAAGTACGTAGGGATAGAATGATATGAAATAAAACTCTACTTGTATGTTAAACTGGAAATACTTTAAGGAAACAATCTTTTCAAGTGGCGTAAAGTGTATTATGTGTATTGTGTGTGTGTGTATTATTATCTAACAAAATGTACAACAAAGAAATCTCACAATGTAAAATGAGAATTTAGTTACTAAAACTTCTTTTAATTTTGAAGACGTTGTACTTGTTGTCGTTTAAATTGGACCGTATGTGACCTGCCTAATAGAATATACAATATCAAGAGTTCAGTATGTGTGCGTGAGGCGATTGTAAGCTAACGTAGGATTAATTGAATGGCTTGTAGGCATATCCGTGACTATAATCAGACCGGGCCCCACCTTTTTTGTTTAAAGGAATAGTTGCTACAAATTTCACGGCATACGATATATGCTTATTCACGGTATACGATCTGTCTGTACAACTGTTGTACATCCAGGAGAAGACATATTCTCTGGACAAAAGGCGATGAGAGCAGTCTTAGTACTGACAATGAGAAATATTTTATGAGTTTTTCTACAGTAGTACTACATGAGTACTACTGTAGAAAAACTTGTAAAATATTTCTCATTTATTTATAATATTAGCGGGATATGTATGGTCATTATTTGTTATATTTATATATTTTTCCTAAGACTACTTGACCATCACCGAGTCCTTGCACAGTGTAACAAATAATAAAAAATACATTTTTCGTAATATTGATTTTATTGAATATCACGACGTTTTACCACCGTGTATCTTATATACTTTTGTGAAATAACTCCGCTAGTTTGTTACAATTATTAAGTACATTCTTTATTGCATCAAAACCAAAAACAAAAAATAATTATACAAAAGGTGAGCAGCATTTCATGAAGTTAGAATACGTGGCCGTCTCTAGTTTGGGTTTGATGAAGTCTTAATAACAGTCAATGACAGATTTCTTATAATATTCATTAATACAAAGTTCGAATACAAAGAAAAATTCCTTCAACCTGGCAGAACTCGTTAAAAAGCCGAAAAAAATAACAATAAATAGATCTATAACAAATTCATATGAATTCGTAAGATCTGGATGACTCAACCTGTAGATCAGTTGACAGAGCATCACATGGTTTGACGTGGTCACAGGTTCGAGTCCTGACAGGTTGAAGGAATTTAAGAAATCTTTTATTAACTCTTACTTAACCACAGCAGAACTAGAGACAGAATGTTATTTCAAGAAATGTTAAAGTGAATGGACATTTGTGCATTTGGGCATGTGTCCCTCAGAGGTAGTAGCAAAAAAATAAAAACTTATCGTCATGGCATTCTACTGACTCTACTAGTATTATCTGCTTATCTTTTAAACTCTGCGAACACTATTATAGGTAATTCCCCAAGATTTATGGATTTATTTACGTGCACTCTATTGCGACGCAATTGTTATAATAGAAAAAAGATAAAGATATGTAATGGTAATCCAAAAGATAAAGTGGTCATCGATAGTTTGAGTCCTCTCGGAATAGGCATTTTTGTTTTCTGTTGGTTTTTGTTTTGTATAATAAAATTTGTTTTATTTTAGATTGAATTTCTTGTCATTTTCACAGATTACAGTAAATAATAATAATTATTAACATTTTACTGCAGACAAATGACATCCATAAAAATGGTAGTACAGACTTAAAACTATGTAAACTATGATACTTATATTTTACCAGGATTTTCGTAATATTTGTTAAGTGCCATTGCCCAGTGGCACTTAACAATTTTTTTTAATTTAATATTATTAAATAGGAAAAGCAACTATTTTTCCGGATTTAAATCGCGTATATTTGTTTTTTCAAACAAACCGACGTTTCGGGCCCTTTACAGGTCCCATGGTCACAGTTGACTGAGGTGGTACAGTCTTCAACCAGTTATGTCTAATGTTGATGCAAACCACCTTATTTTTCTATAGTTACAATAGTTATTAATTAAATACCTTATTTTTAATTTTACAAAGAAAACATTTCAATTTACGCTACATTAAGTTTTACAAATTATTTTATTAAATGAATTCTTATTAAGTTTTATTTTATTAAGTTTTATTATGATATAAGTGCGGTAAGTTGAAAATTTGAAAATTGTAATTTTCAAAGCGCACGTATGTCATACGACGTTTTATAACATATTTGCGAGGAAATAAATAAGACTCTGACTTTCTTAAACGAATAAATCTTTAATTACTTGTTAAAGCAGTTATAGAAATTTGAACAATTTTTAAAAGTGATTGTTACGTTGCCAGTTGGCATTTTTAATGTTGTCAAGTTATTATTATTAGTTACAATCTCCCCAGACTCTCTCTCACTCTCTTTAGAGAAAGTAGGAGAAACCAGACCTCAGAGTTCTGCAGTCGGTGGCGGCGGCGGAGGCGGTTGCGGCTGCGGCGACGATGGTGGAATGTACGCGTGTGTGCTCGTAGATGGTTGAAAGTCAACACTTGACTCCAAATTTATGTTCCTTGTAATGCGAGAGCTAATTTCTTCTTTATTTCTTATCGAGTCTTCTATGTATCCTTCGGCTACATTGCTTGACCGCCATCCTCCGTGGCGTTTTAGTGTCAATAAGTCCGCACCTGAATCGGCGAGCAATGTAGCCGAGGACCTTCTGAAACTGTGCCCTGTGTATTCATGTGCTTGAGGCAAATTTAAGAAAGTGGCAATTTCTTTCGGCATTGCTCCCAATTTATTAATGCCAATGGGTTGGTTAGTGCATTTTCCATTTTGGTAATTTTGAAAAAATCTGTAAGAATTAGCTGTTGTTGAACGAAGCGCTTCGTATTTCTTCACTACGTCGTAAAAAGGCCCCTGTATTGTGAACGACCTTGGAATTTTATTTTTTGTGTTTTTGACCTGGACAAAAAGAACCCGCCCATGGTTCTCGACATCATTAGTTTTTATGTTTGCCAACTCTTGACGTCTACATGCACCATTTATACCGGATATTAATACAACCTGAAAAGAGATAAAAAGAACGTATAAACACCTATATTGTAAAGAAATACGAAAGTGAAAGAAATTAATAACAATAATTTAGTTTCAACTGACCTTTGTTGCCAAATATCGCCAATCCGGAGCGTCTTTTAGGAACTTCTTGATATTGTCAGCCGAAAATACTTTCGACTTTTTACTTACATAGCCATCTGAGCGTCTTTTTAGAAATGCTATCAAGTTGGAGTATGACTTGATATCAATACCATGGTTTGTTTTCATAGTGCTTTTTAGCATTGAATAGTAGCACCACAATGAGCTTGACTTATATTTTTGAGAAAGTTCCATAAAATAGGCTAAAGACACATTTTCTGAAAATGAATTTATATCTTTGCTTGTTTTCCATATGATTAAATTTTGATACGCTTGTAAGTATCTATCGGTCGATTTTTCAGGTAAGAGGCTTAGAGTAGCCTTTTTCGCTGCGTTTATGACTTGTGGCGGTGTCAAATTAATAAATTCATCACTACTTGACGACATTTTCAAATAAAAACAGTACAGCGAAAAGAAATAGCGCGCGAAATAAATTTTACTTGTCCACAAATTAGCCATGCGCGCGCATCAACCTTTTTTTCTAGGCAAAGGTATAAAAATAGCCAGTATTACTAATAAAGTAAATTAATATTTTTGTGTCTTTGTTACAGATAAATGGTTGTAATTTATTGTCAAAATTAATTAAATTAAAGAATTAAATGTTTATTTACTATATTTTATCTCCCAAAGTTAATTTTATTCATAAAATATATATAATTTTATTCATATAGAAAAGTGGTCACACTTTTCTAACATAAAAACTCTCTGCAAAGCTTTGAAAAAGTATCGTTCATTTTTAGACGGAGCATCTTAAAAAACCGTGCATGTTA